GGAAGATAACGAGAAGGAGGCAAGGAGTAGCAAACCCCACCACACACATATTCACTCTTAATTATTTCATCAAAAGTCGTGCCTTTGATCTACACTTTACTCTTTCCCTTCGATTCGAGTGTGTTTCGTGTAATGAAAAGAAAAATATGAGAAGTGATGTAGATAAAAAAAAAAAAAAAAAGTTATGGTTGATGCAACTAGTTGAGGAATTTTGAAACTTGATTGACTTCAAAATTCACCAAAATAATTGTGTCTGGTCGAGAACTTGGGGTGTAACCTAGTTTTTTTCTTTTGATTCTTTGGGCACTCTAATGACTTACATGGTTGTCTCGATTAGGGATAGCAACGGCAGAACGGGAACGAGTTTTGCCTTCTTCATCTTCGTTTTTGTTTTCAACTTTTTAAAATAGAAAAATTTTGAATCTGTTTTTATTTTTGGTCAACTCAATTTTTTTTCTTTCTGTGAAACTCGAAACGGGTTTAATTATGTGTAAATAGAATTACAACCTTGTTTCATTTAGTTTTCAAGTTAGAATAGATTTAAAAAATTTAATTATGAATTAAAACGAGCTCACTTTATTTAACCTGCATATTAATGAATTTGAGTAAGATTAGTGGTGTATTAGTTCGCTTTTTTTCAATTTTTAATATTTTAATATTTTTCGTCGTCAAAAAGTTTGTAATGTTTATTTAAATCAAATAATATATATTAACATTATTATTTTTCACAAATTAAACTTAATTAATACATTTAATTAATAAAAAATTAATTTATAAACAATTCATCAGAGAAGAATAGTACTTAAAATGAAAGCCAAAGATGATGTCACAATTTACAGCAACACCTTTCAACATTAAGGTTTCCCCCAGCATAACCAATCAATACTATATTTTATTATAGATCATTTATATAGATAATTTAAGTTTTATATATTTAAGTATAATAATAAAAACAAATATTTTTTATTATTTTTATATTAATAAAATAATTGTTGAGTGATTTTTTCAAAGGATTGCCAATGTATTTTTTTCTTTATTTTAATAGTAAAAAACTCAAATCTTTTAAGAAAAAACACATATTCTAAACACAACCATTACAAGGAAATTGTTAACGTGTTTCTCTAAAAAAACTCTAATGATGTACGCAATTTTCAAAAACAAAATTCTAAACTCTTTCTTCCTAACTGACCGAGGAGAGAACCGTCAAAAGTTAAAACAAAAATAAGAAATGAGAAGTAAATGAAATAAAATAAAATTCAAGTAATTAATATTTTTAAATTAAATTTAAAAAATTTGAATTCGAGATCAATTATTTGACCTGCATAAGTTAATTAAATCTCCAAGTGAGATCTATTATTCAGACAAAAATTGAATACAAATTTGTAAAATATTATATTTTGTGCTTGAAAAATAAATAATGAAAATAATGTTTCCCATTTAGTGTGACTTTTTAAAATGAAATAAATGTTTCACGTAATAAAAATTCAACATGAAAATTTCAATAAATAAAATTATATATATATATATATATATATATATATATATATATATATATGAGAGAGAGTTAAGTATATTTAACTTTAAAATAATTATTTTAAACCACATTAATATTGATTTTCTCGAGTTAAATGATGTCAAAATAATTGTACAAAGAATGTATATAAAAATAAAGTTTTATTTTTCTATATAAACGTGGAGAAGCTCATTTGGTGGTATATGACGTAAATGAGAAGATAATTTTTTTTTTCATTCGTTATTATTTTTTGTTTTTCTACTGGGTAGATTATTTTTTTTTAGGCAAAATGATATATATATATATATATATATATATATATTATCTAAAAACAATTTCTAAAATTATCTTTTAGTTTAATTATGTTTAAGAAATCTTGATTTTTAATTATCTGATATATTATATTTATGAGTCTTATTTTATTAAGAGATGAGAATAGTATCATAACATAAGACTTTAAATAATTTTATTTTCACTGTTATTTAGATAAATTATATTATAAAGTTTAAAAAGAAAATAAAATATATTTAGATTATTTTATTAGTTAAATTCAATTTATGCATGAAATTTTTAAAAGTATTATCATTTCACTTCTTAAAAATTAAAATATAGATATTATAGAAAGAAAATAAGATAGTGTTATTGTCAAGAATTCATTATGCATCTGAGCTAATTATCTAATTGATGTATTTTTAAAATGTTTATAGGTCACAATTTTGTTGAGTGTTTAGTGGATTAAAATAATAAAATTTAGATAAGTTATTTTTTATGTTGTAAATTGAATGATGTAAAAGTTGTGAATATATTTAAATATAATCTCTCTAACGAAAATGAAGAAGTAAGAAAACATCAAAACTTTGTATTTAGTGTCACCTCGCGAATATTGTATCTAGAATGAATATGATATTTTGATTTATAATATCTTAGTGTCAATGATAATATATAAAATATTATCCGTTTTAAAGTTTTAAAAAATGTTTGATCAAGAAAAAATTATTCATATGAATTATTATTAGTCTTTATGGGTATAAAAAAACAGTAAATTTAAATTTTGAATAAAGGTTACTTTTTTTATTTTTTTATAAATATTTATGGAGATTTTTTATTTTTTTTTTCAAATATAACTTGTAATACTGTAAGGAAGTTTGACTCGGCGCTTAATCTTTTCGTGATTTTTTTTTCTTTAAATAAAACACTCCACTTCATGATATCATTTCACACTACTTAATTTGGACAGCGTGGATATCTTATAAAGGAGGAATAACGAGAGAATTTTGTTACGTCAAGTTGCTGATAACATACCAAATTAATTAGTTATGCAAATATTATACTCTGTTAATCCACCAATATTGGAACTTAACCAGCGTTACAATGGACGAAGAAATTGAAAATTTTTACGAGAAGATGCATAATATTATAATTTAGCTAATATCTTTAGGGAGATTCTCATAAAGAGCATCATATATGTTGCCCTAATATTAGTTTTCATCTCTTGAAATCACGAAATTCCCAATGCTTGTGACCTTGATGGGGTCAGCTCCGTTCAAATTGAGCGGCTATGTGTTGGGTGGTCACACTACATTGTAATCTAACCTTTTGTCTTTTATGAGATACACAAATCAATTTATTTTTCAACCCACTTCTACTTATTGCACCTATCTTAATAATCATCTTAGCTCATATACACCAATTACGTGCACATAATCTAAAAAAAAAATAAAAAAAAATCAAAATCTAGAGATTAGTTAGTTTGGTTTTCTACATATCCATTTGGAGATAGATTCAATCTAAATATAGGGTATTTAAATATGTGGAAGAAACAAGTACCCCCACATACCCTCTCTTAGAGGGAATTACAACTGTACAATAACACGATGTGGAAAAACTAGTGAGTTTAAGACCTTCCCACTAAAGTGGGGTTATATATATAGAAATTCATAAAGTTTGTCTTTTTCGAAACTAGAAAAACCTCTTGGTTTGTGGTAGCATATTGATCGGAGAAATAGCTGGAGTTAGTCAAATTTGTGTGGGGGAGATGGAGAAAAATCAAACTCCAGAAAAGTCAGTGAGGATTATGCAGAGAAAGCATCCAATTCTCTAGGTTAGAAATTAAATAAAAATTTGTCATAGATTATGTAATCCAAAGCGTGTTTTGTAGACTAAATTTCTGGCCACAAACTTGTCATTAACTTCAAAGAAAGTTATTAAACAATCGTTACTAATTTTGTATTTTAATTTGTTAGCTTTTAATGATAAAATTGTGTTGACAGTTGTAAAAGTGGATAATATTTTGTAATTAGAATTAATCCTAACCATTATATCATAATATATATTAGAATCCTATTTTATTATATGGAGTATATTATAATATTATATTGTTTTTTATTAAATAAGATTAAAAATGTACGGATTTCTCATTTATATATCGTATATTTTTTTCTCAATAGATAATTATACACTTACATGCATTATTTAATATTTTTTTATAAATACGATAATAATTAGTTCAATCATTTTACCGTGTATATCAAATTTCACATGAATACTTTTTTTAACAACTAGTCCACAATAAATTATGAGTTTTTATATATACTTTTTTACCTGAATCAGGATTAATAGCAACATATATAATATATTATAAATAAAATTACTTATTTATATTAGTTTTAAATTACAATAACATAGAAAATAAAAATAATAACAATTGTTTTATTATAAACACATATTGTTTTACAAATTATATTCAATAATAATTTTAGAAATGAAAGCACATTTTACAATTTTATTATTTTAATATTTGGAAATAAAAACAACTTATTATGTTATATCGAAAATAAGGTATTTAAAAAATATATAAATTATAATATCCAAACTTATATATTACAAAATATATATACTCGAAACAACATTTAATTTCTGCAAAAAAGTTGGTTATTTCATATTTATACAAATGAAAACAAGTATTTCCCTGTGAAAACTTACACAAATTTGAGTCAATATCTTTGATTCAGGGTTATTTATCATATTTACGTTAATTATATATCAAAGATACTTAAAGTAGTAGGTTAATATAAATCATTTTTAAGTATACAATGATTGAAGATGGGAAATAATTAAATATTTCCCTTAAACATAACAAATGATATTATTTTAAATTTAACTATTTTTAAATAACAATTAACAATTTTGTATCCATAAAATAAAATTAAAAAAATATACAAAAATATTTATTAAACATTTGACTACTTCAACGTATGACTTTGCCAGAAAAAAAATATAATTAAATAATTACCTATATAACTTTTCGGCAGTTTTTCACATATTATTTAAAATACTTTATCAAAATCTGATATATTTTTTAAAAATTACACTTATTTCCCTACACTCTCACTAAATAACACTCCTACACTCTATTTTTAAAATATAAATTCACATCTCTTATACTTTTAATAAAATAATATTTATATTCTCTATTTTTTTTAATAAACATTCAATTACCATTATATTTTTAATAAATTATATTACTTTTTATTATGTTATTAATAAAGTGAATCACACTTCCTTATTTATCTAAAAATATTACATTGATTAACATTTAAATAAAATATTATAAAAACTAGAAGTTAAAATTTAAAATATAAAAATTAAAGATTTTGTATAAACCAAACGTTTAAAAAATAATAAGTATCGTGAATATTACATTATTAAAAATATAAATATATAAATATTAAATATCATTTATTTAAAAAAGTAAAGAATGATAATAATAAAAAAAATTGTATATTTAATAATTTCATGTGAAGTAAATGCAATTTTACAAAATTAGAACCTCTCAAAGGAATGATGGTAAATTTTCAAATATTAAACTTTTACTTTCTTCCTTTTTATTAATTTTTCTCTCTTGTTTTTTTTACTAGTTCATATATTCGCACAATATTATTCACTCATTTACTTGACATTGGTCACATGCTTAAAGATATAGTGATTTTTTTTCCTCAAAATAAATTAAATTAATATATAATACATATATATTAATTTTAAAATAAAAATACATATTTTTTTAAATTATATAATCTCAAACATATTAAAAAGATACATTCGATATATATATATATATATATATATATATATATATATATTTATTTATTTTAATCATAATTTTTTTTTTATTTTTTAGTCTCAAGATAAAATACTATATATATATATTCTTTAACTACTCAATTACTCATTTTTTTATTTTTTCTCTTTTTTATAATTTATCTTCAACCATTTATATATATATATATATATATATATATATATATATATTAAATTTTAATAAATAAACTAAAAAATATAATAAAAGTACAGACACACTTAGGCTTGTGTTTCACCTGTAATAAATAATTTGTTTGGTAGAAAAGTAAAGAAATAAAATTTATCCTAAAAAACATGGAAAGATTGTGTCAGGGTACTGTGGACCACACTCATGTTGCCTGGAACCAGGGACATTCTTATTCTTATTTGGCATTTTTTTTTTCTTGCATTTCCATAAGTTTCTTCATTTACATCATAATTAAATTAAACCATACTTTATCTTTATACCCATCTTTCATTTTCCTAATTTCAGATTGCACATGTTGAAAGTGTGTTCCAGACCTACAAATTTAAAATACATTTTAAAAAAATCAATTATGAAACATTCTAGACCATGTTTTAAAGAATATATTTTTAAATTAATTTTTCTAGAAATTCATTATCCAAAATATATTTTTAGATTTACGAAAATATATTAAGTGTTCGGAGAATGTGTAGAAAGAAAGTGCCTTTTTATTCTCATCATCTATGCACTTTGGGCTTGGTAGGGCTATGCATGGTAGCCCAACATCATGCTGATATGAATTCAATAAGAAGGAAAAATATCCAAGGGATAAAACACATCTCATCCCCACTTTTTTTTTTTTTTTTTAACCTCACCATTCTAAACAACAAAAACTAAATTAAAAATAAAATAAAGAAAGAGAATTAGGTAAGTAATATATAATTAGCATAAAAATGAAATGAGAAATATAATTAATTATCTTCAGTAAAATAAAATACATTTAGATGGAGAAAAAAAAAAATCTTAAGTAAGAAGAAAAAAAATCTTAGTAACGAGTGATGTGGGAAGGATAAGCAGCGCAGCGGGTGTTGATGTTGAAGGTGGCGAATTAGGAGGAAATTTAGAATTATGTATGAAAAATGATTTGTTTATGGTAGGAACTCCAAAACTTTCCAATTTTTTCTTATTAGCCCAACACCATGCTCATTACTCATCATCCTATTTTGTCAAATTCCATTTTTGTCCCCGGTTCCATTTCCCAGGGTCGTTCTGCATCCCCACCTTCTCCTTTCCTTTGCTTCTCTTCTCGCTCAGGTACTCTTCTCTTCCTCCCTTTCTTTTTTCTCCACGCGTTTCCCTCAATATTTATTAGCTCTCAATTTCTCAGTGTCCAATTTACTCACCATTTTTTTTGTTTCCTGATACTTAGATTCGACGTAGTTTTCCTGTGTAGTGATTGACGCTCATTCAATTTTATTCAAATCCATTTGATATGTTCTTTTTTCGTTAACAATGATCATAAATCAAATTTGAATTTGTTTTTGGGAGAGACTATGATATTTTCCACGAGGCTTGGAGCCTAAGCTTGGATGTGCAACATTCCCTGTTGCGAATGTAGAAACCTTCTTTTGTGAATTTATGTGATGTAACTTTTTAAGGTACAAATACTTTTTGAAGCAATTTTGTCTAATCGTGGAGCTATTCCTGTCTTGCTCAAGGGGACAAGAGATTCTCAGAAGTCTTACTATTCTTTCCTTTTAAGCTGAACCGAAAACAGATCTGGTTTAGTGATAAGTGTTAACTTCATCAGTTGCATTTTATTGTTGGCTTTTCTTCAATGTCACGCAGATATGGATGCTGCTGCAGGTCAAATTCTTTACCCATTGCACCGCTGTAAAACTCTTCACCTGGTTCGTCTCAACTTTATCCTTACGGCAGATTTTTTTATTTTTACTATATGAAAAGTTGTATTCCCCCATATAGGAAATTTATTTTTCGTCTGTTCACCCTTTTCAGAAAATTTGTTTTCCCTTTTCTACAAAACTCTTGTAATTGAATGATGCATTAGTTATTTTTTTCCCCTAAAGTATTATTTGTTCTTATTAAAAAGAATTAATAAATATTTGAAATGTATGGCATAAAGATTTTCTCTCTTAGTCTGATTTGAGAGGGTATCATCAAAGAGAGTTCTTATCAAAGAAAGTTTTTATTAAGAGTTGGTTAAGAATAAACATAAATATTTTAGTATGGGTATCAGATGAGTGACTTAAAATTTAGTCAGTTATTTATATAAGTAATTTTCTTCCAATTTTAAGAAATTTTTTTGAATTTTAAGTAACAAAATGTTGGACTTATAATAAAATATTTATTTTTATTCTTAAATAACTATTGTTAACAACTCTCACTGGAGATGTTCACGTGATTACTTTTAGCTTTATGTATGATAAGGGTACCTTTGAAACAACAATATAAATTATTGATCAGTTTATAGTTCTCAACTGTAAATGATTTCTTAAAGGGTGTGTATTAGTTGAAAAGGTCTAAATGGGGACAGAGGGAGTATGTTGTGCTGACTTCTAGTATTAGCTACTTATCTCTTTCTCACTGAAATTTCAAGATGAAAATTTAGAATATACTGTTACGTTCAAGAACAAGAAGATCAGGAAGTGTTTAAAATTTAACTAATGTGAGCCAAATTTCACTAACTACATATTTTAAGGGTGTTCCTTCCTTTCTGTAATCTAGGAAGGTCGAATTTTTGGTGTTACATTTAGCTACGTCAGTATTTAAAATTCCTAGAATAAAGGGGAGAATAAATCATCAAGCAGTGGGCAAACTGTTTGCTTTCTTGCCAAGTGACGTTTTGGAAGCCTCCAGGAGGCATATTTTGTTATGAATCATCATTCACATTTATTTGAATTGAACACTTGGATGTGGAAGATGCAGCATGGTGAACACAATATAACAACCTATTATAATTCCATAATGACTGTCTGGCAGGAGTTCGGATTATTTGATGATGAGAGAGTTCAAATGACAATGCTCGATACTAGTGAAGATGGTTTTGATGAATTGTTGAGTTTCATAATGATATTTCATCACAAAAATCATTCAAATCAATGAAACCAAATAATTTAAATGTAGAAATTGGTGAATCCTCTACTACACTAATGCTATCTCAAAATGAAAATGTTGAAACTACAGAAATAAGTGTGAAATGGTATAAAGGTTTTGTTTACTCAATGCATAATCAAGCATAGGAAACGAGAGGCCCCATTCAACACCACCACCACCAAGAATCTATTCAGAGGTTGGAACATGAAAGTCTTGATGATCTTTTAGAAGTTCCTAACATTGATGAGCCAAGTATTTTTGAGTCAAATTCTTCTAGTCAACTCAATCTTGTCAAAGCTATTAGGAAAGATGTTAGGTCTTGTACAAAGTATCCTTAATCAAAGTATATCTCTCGTAATATTTGTCTACTTCATATTTTGCCTATTTCTCATAGGTGTTTGGTGTAGTCATTCCTAACAATATCCAAGAGGCTCTAAACGTTCCTGCTTGGGGAGAGGTTGTTCTTGAGTAGATGAGAGCTCTAGAGAAGAATGTTAATTGGGAGAAAGGAGATTTACCCATTGGGTTGTTAGATGTAAATGGGTGTTTAGCTTACTATATAAAGTACAACTATAATGGATCGCTATAAAGATTCAAGTCTCGACTAGTAACTAAGGGATTTACTCAAATACATGGGATTGGTTACTCTTAAGATGTTTCTTGTAGTGGCAAAGTTAAATATAGTTCGAGTGCTCATATAAGTTGCAAATAATCTTGGTAGGCCTCTCGATCAGGTAGATGTAAAGAGCACCTTCTTGAATGGATATTTGGGGGAAAAAGTGCATAAGTAGTGTCCATCTAGTTTTTGTATGGGTGTTTGGAACGGTTGGAAGTCCCACACATTGCTTGTCTCATATCATTTGATATGATTTAAATACCTATTAGGCTACTCTACATATTGTCAATTGGTTTTATGTTAGAACCTTAACATGGTATCAGAGCCAAAAACCTAACTTCTTTTCGGTTGTTGTCTTGGGTCAAAAAGTTGACCATTCGTTGTGGGTCAAAAGTACCATTTGCCTAGTCCGGCAAGCTTTATTGAAGGGGACATGTTGGAAGTCCCACATTACCTACCTCTTATCATTTGGTATGGTTTAAATACTTAGGCTACTCCACATATTGCAATTAGTTTTATGTTGAAACCTTAATAGGAACATAGGTATGCAAACCAAAAAGATTACTATATAGACTCAAGCAATTCCCTAAAAGCATTGTTTGAAGATTCACAAAAGTTGTTAAAGGGCAAGGATAAAGTCGAGGACAATTTAATCATACACTTATTACAAAGAGATCTCCCAAGGACAAAATTTCAGTTTTGATTGTCTATGTAGATGTCATAATTGTAAGGATGATTTTGAAGAAATGGGCATATTGAAACAAAGGCTTGCCAAGGAATTTGAGATTAAAGATTTAGGACAACTAAGGTACTTCCTTGGAATGGAAGTCTCAAGATAAAAATGGTGTCACAACAAAAGTACATTCTTGATCTCTTGAAAACAAACGAGGATGAGAGGATGTAAACCTTTCCATACACCTATAGTGGTCAATGATAAGCTTAAAGAAGTCAAATATGTTTATGCCCGTTGACACATTTAGATGCCAAATGCTGGTTGGGTAATTAATTTACCAACAATGCTTTTGTTGAGAGCATGTTAAGTCAGTTTTTGCATTGCTCTTATGAGGTACATCTTAAAGTTATGTACCAAATTCTTTGCTATCTAAAAGGAACACCAAGAAATGTCAAGGTGTATGCTGGTGTTGATTGGTCAAGATCAATTTAGATAGGAGGTCTATATTTGGATATTGTATGTGGAACAAATACCCTCCATTTGTACCAACTACATAATAGGTAGCAAATATTTCGACCAAAGGGCTTTTGCGACAGTTATTTGAACCACAAGCTAGCAAGTTGGGTATGATTGATATATTTGCACCAACTTGAGGAGAAGTGTCAATAATTAGGAAGGTTGAAATTTGGGTATTAAATTCAAATTATGATTGTAAATGAAATTCCTAGAATCAAGGGGAGAACATATTAGGATTAAATCACTCCCTAATATTTTTTATTTTTGGGAATGGGCTGTTATGTATCCTTTTCTATTTATATGCTATAGATAATTGACCTGAAAGTATGAGAATAAAACTTCATTCTCTTCTTACCTACACTCCTTTGTGTGCTGTGTTCTGGTTTTGAAAAGATCATTTGTTTATGTTCAAGTGTATTGAGGTCTTATCCAATCTTGTATGCAGGTGAGACATGCCCAAGGATTTCACAATGTCGAAGGTGAGAAGAACTTTGAGGCGTATAAGTCTTATGATCTTTTTGATGCAAATCTGACCCCTCTCGGCTGGAAACAGGTATTCACTAATCAAATGATGTTATTTTATGACAGATATTGGGTTGTGTGGAATCTTGAGGCGTTTGTATTATAAAAAAAATAAAGTTGTAGGATTTTCTGTAGAGTGTACTGGTGTTAACTGTTATGTTTAGACATTATCTTCATCTCTTTCTCATAATTTCTCATGAGATAATTTGTCTATTGATGATTTCATTTTAGGTAATTCTTTGCAATGTTTTGTTGTTTAGATTTTTGTTGTTTAGATGTCGTGTAATATTTGTGGCTCCATGACAGGTTGACAATTTGAGAGGACATGTTAAGGCGAGTGGTCTTTCCAAAAGAATTGAACTAGTTATTGTTTCTCCCTTGTTAAGGTATATGTACGTTGTAAATATTCTTTATAAGACTTTTTGCAAATATTTAATACTCCTTTTACTCATGTTAACATCTTTTTGATTCTGACCAAGGGCCTTCAAGATTTAATGAAATATACCTAATAGCTTAATAAGGATACTTGTAGATAATTTAACGTTCGAATAGAAAGAAAAAAAATATTATAATAATATGGTGCATAAGAACTTCTTTACAAATTTGTCTACATGTGGTTAACATTAGATAACAAAATTAGACTAGGATAATAAAATAACTAACTAGATTCAGATAATCATGTATAATATAACAAAATTGGATATGATTTTTTTGAAAATACAATGTTTTACTGATTGTTGAAGGATGATGCAACTGTCAAGTTTCAACTAAATATGACTCTTGAACAAATTCCTACATTTGTAGAATTTTTCATGTTGATATTATTCTTTGAATGATACAGTGTCAGTTAATCTATCCTGTTATATTTATGTATATATGTGTATTTATCATTTGTTATATCTCTAACATTAATTATTCTGGTGCCTTTCAAATGTTAATTTTGTTTCAAATATCAGGTCACTTTGCTTATTAGTAAATGACTTCTAATTTATTTTTTGAGAAAGCAAGAAAAATTAGAAACATTTGTGAACAGTTTATTCCAGTTTTATATATAATATTGGGTATTATTGATCTTTATTTGGAGTTTACTTTTTATTTCCGATGGAAATTATTTAAATGTACAAAAGTGGAGTTGTACTGGCATTTGCACGGAATAAATGTTTATGCATATTATTAAAAAACAAGATTCTTTGTCTAGTTTAAGCGATAGTATTTATCATATGTTCAAATTGCTAATTATTGCATTGCAGGACCATGCAAACAGCAGTGGGAGTCTTTGGTGGTGAAGCATCAACTGATGAGATTAATGTACCTCCCCTAATGAATAACGATGTGGGAGATAGTGGTCGCCCTGCAATTTCCAGTCTTGATGCTCCACCATTTATAGCTGTGGAGCTTTGCCGAGAACACTTGGTTTGTAATGATGATGACAGTTTTGTAACTTTGGAGTTTGACAATTTGGACCAAAAATCAATCATACCTTTGCTTTCAACGTTTTGTTAGTTACTCTGACTTATTTCTTCCCATGTTTCAAGAGGAATACAGAAACCGTAATTAGAAATGAATTATTGAAATTACATGTTAGCCGTTTCTATTACGAATCTGAAGCTTCTTTCTTGCTTGTTTAGGAAACTGATTTTAGGTCTTATTGTCCATATGCTGTATCATGTTTCTTGTTTATTGAATAAAATACAAATAATGTCAGCTTCTTGTAAAACTGCTGTACGTTGTACTTGCCACTCCCAACTTTGGCCCTTTTATTTTATCTTTAACCAAGTTTCATAAGTCTTGTTTATAGATAATTAATGTTAATTGGTGTAGAGGTTATTGGTCTTACAGGCAGTAGCTAGTGACTAAATTAGGTTATGATAAGCAGAAAAAAATTTAAAATTGAACATATATTTTTTATCCCTTTGTTGTTGTTTGTTATGTCATTTGTCACTTAATTTCAATCATTGTTTTAATATTTCTTTTTTTTTTTTTTTTTTTTTCAGGGAGTGCATCCTTGTGACAAGAGAAGAAGCATCACTGACTACCGTCAGATGTTTCCAGCCATTGATTTTTCCTTGGTAGGTGGTCTATTTAATTAGCTCATGCATGGGCTAGAACTACCACATTTTATTGTGATCTATAGTTGCTAGAATATAAAGTTTGATTGCATGGAGTTTATGTGCGTTGTAAATTGTGTTCAGATAGAAAATGATGAAGACATTCTGTGGGAACCTGACGTTAGAGAGAAGAACGAAGAAGTTGCTGCCAGGGGACTCAAATTTTTGGAATGGTGAGTGGGATTAAACAATATGTTTCATATCAATGAGTATTCATATTCAACAGGAAGAATCTTATTGAAGACAAGTAGGGAGAGCTAAAGAGACAAATAATCTTGATTGTACTGAATTTAAATGTTCATATATTACTAGGATTGAGGTTTAAATTGAATTTTTAAGGAGTGATTATGTTTAAGGGATTTATATATTGAGATTTACTTCACAAGGGAGATATGCTTACATGCCTTCAACTAGAAATCTGAATTATTATTTTTTTTTTTTTTCATATTTTCTTGTTGGTCCAGGCTGTGGACACGAAAAGAAAAGGAGATAGCTGTTGTTACCCACAGCGGTTTTCTGTTTCACTCCTTAAGTGCTTTTGGGAATGATTGTCATCCAACTGTGAAAAGTGAAATCTGCACACAGTAAGTATTCATCTAAAGCATGCTGATATGTCTCTTTTATGGACACCTCTTAGTTTTGAGATATATGCAAGAAGGAATAGACAATAACGTGCTTTTCTGTTCTCTATGGTGAGTATTTAATGACCAATTTGAATCCTAGCACCACTTAGGTTTATTCATTAAGTGGATACTACTATAATTCATGTCCTAGCCACCTAAGAAGCACAAATACTTGTAAATAGTAATTGTGTTGGGTGGTCTAACACTGTTAGATATATATAATGTCAGATACTGCATGGAGACTTCAAATATTTTTAATTACAGTTTTATGATATTTATATGTTAAAATTTCAGACTTTTATACTAATATTTGATTAGAATACTACAATAATTAAATAATTGTGTGTTTAATTATGTTTTAATGACTTATATTCTTCTTTAAAACAAATTCTTATGGTTTTTAAAATTTTCCACTTTGTTAACTTTGATTGATTAATTTTATGCTGTAGTAATATTGTATCCATTATTTTATTTTTTTTAATTTATCATATTCTTGTGTTGTGTGTTATGTCGTATTTGCAACTGTTCTTAATTTCTGACTTGGAATACCTTCTCAACCAAAATATCCATGCATCCGAGCAAACAACTTGGTATAGAGTGACTAATCTCCACAGATGCGTTTTTTTCATCTGCAATTATTTGTTAAGTTGGATTATCTGAATGATGGATATTCCTACTGTGTTTTAACTTCTTATTTGGTGTTCCCTTAAAATTGAAGTTGAAAAGTACTTTGTACAAAATTTGTTTGAAAAACCCATCTTTGAATTTTTCACTCCCAATTTTAAGTGAATATATAAAATTTTAGCAAATAGCTTTTTGCGAGCCTTAGTTGTATCAAACTTTCATGGTACTAGTTAGTTAATGTTGGGTTTTTTCTTTTTACAGTTTTGCTAATTGTGAGCTACGTTCAATGGTTATCGTTGATAAAGGGTGAGCATTTTATTTGCAGAATAACATAACACTTAACTTTCTACAGAAAACTCACCTATGAATTTGATTTTTCATTTTTGCAGTATGATTGGTTCAGATGAATCATCTACCAACTATCCTGGCAAAATTCCAAATGGCCTTGACCTTCCTAGTGATGTTGCTGACGACAAACATACGGGGAACGGCCAGGCAAACTGATAGTTCCTTGTGTCATATAAATGGCTCTTTTATTTTCCTTTTTCATGATTTCCTAATTGCATTTATAGGTTTCCTCAATGCTAAAATCAAAATCGATACCAATTTTCTTTTTTTGGAAAGATATCTGTTAACAACGATCATTCAATTTTAGCATTCATTAATGGATATCGATTATTCATGTGTTCATTTTGGATATTAAGATTGCCAGTGAAACTCTCGATTAATTCTTACACTATTATGATTTTAGATATACAAAACGAGTTATATAATTATCCAATTGTTTTTTTACTTCATCGTATTTTTATTTTTTTTATCTGTAATTGTGTAATTTTAGTGTCGTTTTAATCGAGTCAATTAGATCTTTATAGATATTATAAATTTATGATTTGTCTTTAAAGTTTGAATTGCATCAACCTAACCTTCACATCCTCAATCTTATCACTGGCCTCCCCCAGCAGGGCAAGCAAACCTATACTGTATACTTGTATCACTCTTGAAAATTTGGCTCGTCAAATTTATGATTTGTCTTCTTGATCTTAGCAACCCCATACCAAAACTTCGCTAAAAGAGGCAATATTTCAGATCCCAAAATGGAAATGTTTGCAGAGTTTGATGAGGAATCTAATGGGAGAGATGAGAATGCAAAATGAGTCTATTACGTGTGACAATTAGCAGCAGCCCTTTCTGCAAGATAAATCAGCTTGTCTGCTAGAAACGTTCCAGTTGGATCACTTGTTAAATCTCGACCAATGTAATCACTTTGACGTTAACCATATTGTCAATTGTTAATGGCTGTTCTTCCTTCATCTCCACTTCTTCATACATCTTCATGATTAAAATACATCTTATTTTAACCATGATAACTTATTTATGAATTGACTTATTTAAAAATGTATCTTGGATTAGTATTTTAGAATAAATTTTTGGATTAACTATTTCGAAAATATATTATATTATATAATATAATTTTGAAGTATTCCTTTCTGAATATATTTTCTTATTGAGTATTTTAATAATGCATTTTGAATTTAGAAAATGTGTTTTGAATTAAACAATTTAAATTTCTATATTTTCTTTCAGTTTATTTTTTATATAACAAATATAAAATATTAATAATTTTTTATATTATGGGTAAAAATAATCTTTTAATTAAAGTGAAATTACAACAAAATAAAATTAAAGGGAGGTGTAGAGGTGTGAAAGAGAAGAAGTTTTTAGTGTTTTATAATAAAAATTAGTAAAAGAGTAGTTGGATCATTTCAACACTTGCAGAACTTAAATTGAAGTGTGATACAATTTTTAGCATCCTGAAAAGTAATTTCTGAAAAGATATTTTAGCGAGAAAAAAAAACTACAAGTTCAAGGTTTAGCAGTTTGTAGAGAGATGTTTAACCATTCAATAATTGAAATACTATATATATATATATATATATATATATATATATATATATATATATATATATATATATATATATATATATATATATATATATATATGCATGCTTACAAAAGGCTTATAGACATCAGTAGCAGAACTATATAAACAATCGATGTGCAACGCAAAATTAATCGCAACTTACTAGTTTCAACAAAGATCAGTTTCTCCATAGATAATAAATCAATGCGAGTAACCAATAACCAATAATTATTGCCCGAATCTTAAACCCACTCGTGGCAATTACATTGGCAATATTAAAAAAGGACAAAAATACAAAGATGCTAAATAGCAAAAACTAACTCCGATTAACTCATTCACACTTTCAACGAATCAATCTTCTCTTTGGCATGAACTGAGAAAAAATCTTTTCTGTGACCTGAACCGAGGCTTCACTCTGGTTGTTTCCTCCATATCGCCGGGGAGTGATAAAAGACTCTCTCTATACACACCACACCTTAAGAAATCAATTCTGCTCTTGTGCGGCCCATATTCAAGTTTGCCTTTGTCATTGATTTTCACTAATGTTTCTTCGCTATTCAGAGCCAACATTTCCCCATTTTGTGTGAAGCATATGGGGTAAATAATACTCAGAAAACAACCCAAAAAATGGAAGAAAAGACAGTTGTTTTGCTCCAAACTGACTCTTACAAATTATACACTGATATATTTTTGTGTTACTAAAACACTCTACGCGATAATATTTGTAGATTTTCACATAATTTTTTTTCTTTATATTTACTAGTCGAACTCATTTGTTAGAGTATAATTTTTTTCATAAATATTTTTAATTGAGAACATTACAGTTAAAAATAATTTTTTTATAAAATTAAAACAAAATAAGTTAAAAAAAAATATTAAAAATATATAAGAGAAGTTGTATAAATTAACTTATAAATAAGTTAATTTTAACTTTCATTTTATTGAAGGGAAAGAATTATAAAAATACTTAGCCTATGTTTATTTTAACATGTTTAATATTAACATGGAAGAATATGGTATGATTTGACTGGATTAAGTAAGTTTAGTTTATGAGAAATTTCAAGAAATAAAATGAGAAGAAAGTGAAAGATTAAGAGAATCATGACAAAATATAAATTATTATTTTATCGATAAATTAACCTATCATACTCATACATCCTTTTTATCTAATTTTATTTATTTTACAATTGTTACAATATTATATGTTTTTTTATAAAGTCATATATAAATAAGTTATGTATTAATTATTATTTAAATATTTTTAATTCAATATTTAAATAAATATAAATTTTATTATATTCTAATAAGATTGAAATATAATATTTTTTAAAATTGTCCTTTACTTTTCTCTATTACTTTTTTTTTCCATAAAATGATTATACTTTAAAAAATAATCATGATTTATAGTTAAAAATATTCATTTCTCTTTACATTATTTATTCAATTTTTTTAATATTATTTAAATTTTTAAAATAATTATATAATATTCAATAATATATTTTCAATTTATTATATAAAAAATATACACTATAATTTATGACGTGGGAAGGAAGGAGGGTATAATGTGTTGAATAGCTAATTTATAAGGTGACTCTAATGATGAAGTGGGATAATAGAGAGTGTAATCAATGTGCAATTTTTATCTCCTCTTTCCTTATTCTTCAATTAACTCAAACACCAAACCAGACATATTTTATCTCCTTGGCAAAAAAATAATCCTAGAATTTTTAATCTCAACAAAATTTTCTTCAATCTCTTAAAATATTTTGTAACCATTTAATCCTCTTACTTTTAAAAAAATGAGAAAGAAAAATTACAATATTTTAATCCCTATAAATATGTAAAAATCCAATTTTAATCTCTGTAAATATTTAGATTTACAATTTTAGCCTCACTAAAAAATACACAAAATTAACTGTAATTGTATAAATGTGTAAAATTCAGTTTTAATCTCTTTAAAACATGTAATGTGAAATCACTATACCACATGTGAGGGTAATATGTCAATCTTTTAAGCATTTCAACATTTAATCTAACAAAGGGAGAATTAATACAGGTTTATTTCTAAAACAAAGGACAAAAATTACCTTTTACACCATACCTCTAAAAGACTATTGTCCTACTTTAGAGAATAAGAGCATATTTAATCATAATTAAATTATTTACGCAAATTAATTTGAAAGGTTTCATATTAGAAAGAGTAACATTTGGTTTTCTAACTCAAATGGAGACTATATTCTGAGTTGATTCCAGATGACGAGCATAAAAAAACAACTGGGCTTAGATGATGAATAATTATTTTTCATATCTGCCGTTGTATAATTTGAAGTGTAAATTCTTGTCAGCAACTGTGCAATTTTGTAAACTAAGCCAAAGTGTGTACATAGAGAGAAAATTCTAGATAAAAATCTCAACCCTTCAGAAAGAATAGCACAAAACCAACTAACACAGACAATAGAAGAATAAGAGCAGCAGCGACAACGTTAATGTGACCAGGCTTCACAGTTTTACTACTTGAACTCTTACCTCCGCCATCACGTTTGCTCTTGTCTTCCATGAGACGAAGTTCTGAATTGGAGGGCACTGCCACATCCCAGAAAGATTTAGTTTTGAGAGATAGCACTTCTTTTTCTGGCTCCAAAATTGTAGAGACATCAGTTGGAGCTTTCATGGATAATAACTCCATGCAATGATCTTTGAAAACCTAAGGAATGAAAATCACAAGTCAAGAATAATATTTTAAAAAATAACGTAAGAAAAAGAAATAAAAATACAAGTTCATTGTAACATTGACAAACATGTAGAGGCTACAGCAAGATAGGGGTTCAAGAGCATGAAAACTTCGATTAACATAGATAAATTGCCACGGTACTATCGTAAGTGTGCTGTTCTAAGCTCTAATTCTATTCTTTATTGCTTTTGGTTTTCAGGAGTGTGCAACAACATCATTATCATATTACTTTGCTTTTAACAGGCTAGCCGCTTCTATAATTATGTTCATTGCAAAATAAAATCATGTAATGTAATGCATGCTACTCCTTTATTTGCAAAGCAACAGGTCATATTTTTGATTGATTAGGTAATTGTTTAAAGGTTCTGGATAATATTATTTTGAAAAGAAACATCCTACAATCAATAAATTATCGATATCCGCAAGGCAGGTATGACTCTTTATGTACATGTTTCAGTTCAAAACTCTTAAACAAATAACATCTTTTTCAGCAACAATACACGCAATGCAAATCACAGAAGTACTTGGTCTTCAAACATAATCACATATAGAAACAAATTTAGACACAACAAGAAACGAAATATCTATTATTTCCCTACAGAAATGGAACAAACCTCGACAGTTTCAGAAGGCTGCAAATAATCACACACATACACCCCTGCTAACCATGGTGCAAAGACTCTTTTAGGAAATGGAAGACTACATCCTTTTCTGTAAAAAAAAAAAAACAAAAACAAATGATGTAATTAATCAAACAATTCAGAGCATAGGAAGCCAAAATAACAAAATGTATCAATATAACCTATGTATTATTCACATGATTATCACTTTTAGAAGTTTATGGTGGCATAAATCTAGAATGTCGGTTTCAGATTATACATATATAGGTCATGGATTGAATCCCCATGCATGTATCTACGTAACCATTAACAATCACTAAAGACAAAATGCTAATCGAAGATTCATTTAAGTGGCATGAAGTCCCTTGAGAGAGTGCTTGTTCCCAGGTTCAAATCCCAATAAGGCCACTTTTCCACTGCTCAATCTACCCTTCCTCCCCACACCAGGCCATGGACCTCTTTGTAAGCAAAAAAAAGAAAAAAAAAAAGAAAAAGAAAGTAGGCCACACGCGGTAAACATTACAAACTAGCATTGAAATCGATTGAACCTTGTCATCGGGATCATAAAAATGACGAAAGCCAAGAAAATCGTTGGGAAATAAAAATCTGCCTAAATGGCAAATCAGGCTCCCTGTGAACTGCAAGAACTAAGACTGCATATATCTACCCTAACCTCACTAGGCAGAAACCCCATGCACTGGATTGCCGCTTTAGCTGCAGGTGTTTAAAACAACCCAACAATAAATGCTAGATAGATCCCACAGACTTAATGCATGAACTTCACAAGAGAACTCCAGTGAGTAATAATCCAGGTAATACACATAAAAAAACAATAACCCTGTAAAACTCTGTTGGCGTTATAAAGAACAAGCATAAGCAAAAACTAAAGTATATCAATGAGTAATGTACCATTACTACAAGTTACCTACCTCAATATGCGCAACACTAGTTGGGGAACAGGCTTTTCAACTGATATTTCATTGCTTGCTTGGCTTCCAACATCATGATTGTTACCAGAGTCAACATCTACCTCATCACAGATTATATCCAATCTACTTTGCAGACTCTTGATAATATCTCCCTAGACACAGAATTGTGATCCATGACGATACAAGACAAAATCAGGAAGAGAGGAAAGTCCAGGAAGTTATCACTTTATTTATAGACACATGTGAAGCGGGGGATCAACTAATCATAATTCAGGGTACTGATATTTCTTAACAAATATCAATCCTAAGACAACCATTGAATAAAAGAACAAAAGGTTGATAATAAAATCATTAACAGAATGAATATAGATAAGTATTAACTCACCTTTATATCAGTGACGGCTTGTGAAATTGGCTCTTTTGAATTCAGATATGCAAAAGAACATATCAAGCCACTAAATGAAAGAAGACCAACAACATCTCCTTGGCTGCATGCTTTACAAAATATTAAATGTTAATGTTAGAAAATTAAGTTTTAAAACAGCAGGAAAGATCATAATAATAACAATAAGAACCAAAATATTTTCATGACATAAGGCAGCAGGCAAACATACCTTCAATAGAACTATTGTTAAGAAATGGTAGAAGCAATTCGACTTCATGCACACCATCCGATGAATATGACTCACTCTCAACAACCTAAATTTATAAAGAAATGAATTTCTCATAAAATAATGATATGAAGTGGAATTTTTACAAATTGTATTAAAAAAATAGTTTGGGGGAAATAAACCCGAACCATGGATAAAAAGCAGTAACTACTAATATTATAAGGCAAACTGTTTTTTCCTAAGGGTGTATTTGGTTTTGCAGAGAGAAACAGAGGGAATGGAAATAGAGAAGAAATAAGACGAGAAAGGAGAAATAGGTAAGTGTTGAAAGGATTAGTGAGAAAATAGGTTACGGAGAATAGTACTGGTCTGATACCATATTAAAAAGAAAGAAACTTAGAAGAAATATAATGAATTTTGTGTGTTGTCTAGACACATGAGTATTCTTATTTAATGAAGAAGAGATACAGTAATAAGGAACAAAATTAGTATCTAATAATGGGAAATATTTGGTAAGATATTTTTCTATCAAATCTTATCATACACTCCCCCTCAAGGTAGAGCATATGTATCATACATATGACAAACTTGTTATGAATGTTATTAACACAAGATCCCTGAGAGAATCATGTCAACGAATTGGTCGTTGGAGTAGCTGATAAAGTAAATAATGGATAAATAATAACTTTACTAGTAAGAAATAAGATTTAATGTTTAGTTGTTTGGTAGAGTAGAAATAGAGGAGAAATACATAAAAAGTATTTTGAAAGTGATGTAATTTGATTGGTTTGATAAAAGATAGATTATTTGAATAAAACATTACCCATTATATTTATATGAACAAAAAAAAATATAGGGGTAAAATAGTCATTTTATTTTTAAATTTATACATCCTCTTCCAGTCCTTCTCACCCTATCTACCAAACTAACAATTAGGAACTTGGGTATTATGGGTGCCAAGTCTCACATAAAGTAGTACGGGATGCTCAATGGAGTATTAAGAGCTAGGTTCTCCCCCTTAATAGCTAGCTTTTGAGGATGAGTTCCCCAAGTGCTTAGGTACTTATCATTATCACACTTGAATTAGTTTTGTGGTTTGTTTGGTTAATCTTGTGTGTTCCCCCATTGCTTGTCGACTTGTATCACTACGAAGTTAAGTCTGCTGTTATCAATGAGGTCTGTCAATTGAACAAGGTCAAGCATATAGAGCGTACTCTATCATCCCATTAATTGGTTTTCTAATAATCTATTACCACTGTGTCAGTCACAGAAAATCAGAAAATCTCCAACAAATTGCAATGTTATTATTGTAACAGTTTATAATTTAATGACTGTGAACATCAAACTTTATAGACAGCATAAATGAAACACTCGCCAATAAATATATCAAACTTTATAGACAGCATAAATGAAACACTCGCCAATAAATATATATCAAACTTTATTGCAGTCTTTTTCGGTACACTCTATATGAATATCTTAAACATTTATTGACATAATTTGTTCTAGACACCACAGATCTAGTAACATACTGAAAAAAAGTAAGTCAACAATCAATTGCTAGATCCTACACCATAACAAATAATGAAGCAAAGGAGAATAGTTGTCCGTGATCTAATTATAAAAGACTACATCCAACTTCACTATCAACAATCTAGCATAATATAGTTTCAGTATTTCTCATCTAGGAATTTTTTGGAGATCAATGTCAAAATGTTACACTAATTCAAAGTCCAATTCAAACAAAGATGACAAAACTATCTTGGGTCATGTAATATTCAGTGCTGAGAGCCACTGTACCACAATGAAACAATATTGTGGGACGTATACACAGTAAACCAGGTAAGTAAATTCTCCTACTAAAATCCTGAAGTTTTTTTCTAAAATTGGGGAACCAAATTGCTTCTTACTTCTGAATAAAGTGTACTAAACATAAAACATTAACCAGAAACTGGAAGAAGTAAAAGGCTGAAAAGAAAAACATGGAATCGAGTAATTACCAATTTACCGTCAATCAAGGCCTTTGCACCGGAAAGCTCTTTGGCATGAACAGATATCACATGACGAAGAGTATCACTCAATGTCTGGAACTTCGATGCACTGTCACGTAGTATGGGTAACCTTGCAAGACATAACAGATAACACCTTATCCAATTACTCAAATTACCAACAGATTCAGCCCATTATCTAAGAATATCACAATTTTCGAGAATGTTACCTCAGGTTGAAGTTGTACATGCACTTGTACGTCTGTAGGGAAGTTAAGATCTTCCCCGTTTTAAAATCACAAGGCCGCAAACTACTTGATGTGATATTCGAAGACAATGAACAGTTTCTACAGTTCCACCTGCACTAATAGCAACACCTGAGCATCACGTCACAAACTAAAATAATAAAAGAAATGGAATAATTATCAGTTATGGTGTTACCTTCTCGGACTATAACAAATGTGAAGAAGCAGTCTCTCATCCCAATCACCCGCCACAACCGGTGCTGCGTCAGCAACAACCTTCACTGTCTACAACACAACACATACATAGTTAATCACGAAATCAAATCCGAATGGAGTAAGTAGTAACCAATTGTTAACACACCTGGCAAAGCATTATGGTGGAATTCTTGAACGCGGTATCGCTGACCCAAGCGTATAGGCCCACCACCTTCATGCCACCGACGAGCATTCTAGAAACCTGGCGTGCATGTTCGGCGACCCAGTCCTTGTCGATGAACAAGGAAGAGGAATCGGCCGGCTCGGATTTGGATTTGGGTTTCGGCCCCTTCTTCTTGTCGGGCTCGGGGAGGGAACAGGCGGGCTCACCGGAGTCGTTGTGCGGGGTGGGAACCAAATCGAAGAGGAAAGCGCGGCCCACAGCGGAGCTGAACTTGCCGATTAGAAGACCCACCTGAAAGTTAAATTGGAGTTGTTAGTTAGTTAGTAAGGTATTGAGAGAATGTGAGAGTGATGGCAATGGAGAATGTGCCTCCGATGGAACTGCGGATTGGCTGAGACGATCCTCCGCCAATTTGAGTCGCGTTTCTTCTCCGACCACGGCTTTCGCCATCGCTGATTACTCAATTGCAACCGTCACTAACCAACACAACGCTTTTATAAATCTGAAACACAATTATCAACAGATCTATGCTTGAAATTCCGATCACTTGAACTCTATGAAGCTAAATCGGATCGTTTACGCAGGTTTAGACACTGTCTTCCCCCTTTGGATAAACCCTCGAATCAATCCAGATTTTAAGAACTACTGTGTATTATTATGATGAATACTTTTTTCAAATATATAAATTATATTTTAGAATTACAATATTCAATTTAAAACATATTATGAAAAAAAAATAATGACTAATGCTTTCTTTTAAATAATAATTAAATATTATTTTAGAAATGATGTATAATAAATAAAATGTATTCGTTAAAAATAATTATTAAGATAAACGATATTTTCTTGTTCTTTTTATTAGATCCTAATATATTAAGAAGAGTAATATTATTTATATGTAGTTTTTAAATATTTTAAGTGATAAAAAGAGAGAAAATATGAAAAATGATAATTAAATTAAAAATATCATTGCAAATTTCCAAATCCAACTGCAATTGGTACTTGCCAACGGGACAGGACGGGACGGACTAGGGATTTGCCTCCCTTAAATCATTTCTGTATGTCTCTTATTTTTATCTCCTTAAAAGTTAAGTCTCGTTTTTATTGGATTTTTTTCTCATCTTTATTATTTTTAAAAAGATCATCATATTTATAATAAATTAATTTTATTATATATTTTTTATATATAAATAAATATTTATAATTTATAATTATTATTAATTAAATATACATTTTAATTTATTATATTTATATTAAAATATATATGTAAAAAAATATTTAATTATTTTTATTTATATAAATATATAAAGAAAATATTTATAACATTATTATTATTATTATATTATTTAAATATTTGTAATATTATTATTATAATATTGTATTAAATATTTAATTATATATAAGTTGAATATATTTAATTATATATATAAGTTAATTCATTTTTAAGTTGTTATTCAAATATATGAAATATATAGTTTGTAAGAAAAAATTTAATAAGTTAATTCTTATTTAATTATTTTGAAGTAATAAAAATTTAAATTATTAATTTTTTTAATTCTTTAAAATATAATTATTTTATTAAGATAGAATTTGATATATGATAAATAAGAATAATAAAATAAAAAAATATGACATAATAAAACCTAATAGATATAAATTATAAATAAAATAATACTAGTTACTACCAGAATTTATGTAAAATATTTAAAAAAAGATAAAAATAAAAATTATTTTATATTCATCAAATTGATTAAAAAAATTAAAAAAATAAATAAATTAATGAGAAAAATTAAAAAAACGTAAAAAATAAAAAAAGAATAATATAATAAATTAATTGATATAAAAGATTAAAAAAAATAGATAAAAAAAAGAATAAAATATTAAAAAAATAATTTTATATGTAATAAAAAAAATATATTTAAAATCTTAATATTTTATATTTAAATCGAAATGACCATTCTCCATTTCAATTTTCAACTTTTTAGAACGGAAAAATCTCCGACCCACTCCATCCCCGATCAATTTGAGTTTTGCTGTGAAGTTCGGGATACGGAGGATCAATCCCGAGTGTATGGGTTTAATTTCCATCAAACTTGAGTGCATGTGACGTCACTTGAAGCAAAGAAATGATGGAACTGTGTGAACAAGCCGAAAAACTAGGTTTAGTGCCGGTAACAACACTTAATCAATTCAATAGGACGAGGTGGGATAATCACCTACAACCGTGTCTACGGACCTGTTCCAAAAACAACCTCCATTCGTCAATTCTTTCCCTTTCCATCGTCCACGCCACACAGAATCGACCCCTCTCTCCCTTTTGCTTACTCACCACTTCGTCACAAGTCCACCATGCTCTCTCCGTCTCCAATATACCCCACAATAATAAAGTAACAATTTTTTTATTTTCTTTTGAAATTTTCTTCCTCCATTTTTTTTCTTTTCTCACACCAATTTTCTTTTCTCTGATTTCCTTCTGAGAAAATCTTAAGCCTACTTCCCCAGACGACTTTCATGACAAACCAATCAAACTTCCTTCCTAGCTGTCACACTCGCTTTTTATTGTTTCTATTTTCTTTTCGGTTAATTTCAAAGAGTGAAGTTGGTCTCTTTACGTTTTTCTAATTCGGAAGGAACTTAATAAACTATTAAATAATAAATTAAAAATTGGAAAAGTGCGAAGCTTGTGAGTAAAGTTTGATTCGTGAAACGCTTTTGGGGTTGGAAGAGTGTGCAATGCAGAAGCTGAGATTGATGAAGTGAGAGAGAGCCAGAGCGATGGTGTTGAGGAAAGTGGGGAAGTATGAGATTGGGAGGACGATTGGGGAGGGAACTTTTGCGAAGGTGAAATTCGCTCAGAACACAGAAACTGGAGAGAGCGTGGCCATGAAGGTGCTCGACCGTAGCACCATCATCAAACACAAGATGGTCGACCAGGTAGCTCTCTTAATTGATTAACTTTCCTTGTAAGTTTAGTTTTCTTTTCGGTGTAAAATGTTTCATGATTGGTGCGTTTCTATTATTGTGCAGATCAAGAGGGAGATTTCCATTATGAAGCTAGTTAGGCATCCTTATGTTGTTCGCCTGTACGAGGCATGTGATAATTGCTTTCTGTTTCTGTAATTAAGGGTCTGTTTGTCTCCTTTTCAAAGTTGTCATCCAATTTCGAATCATGATTATCAATGAATTATGGAATATGGTGTTAATCAAGGCTTCAGAAGTATTTTCGAGCAAGTAAAAGAAAGACCTGAATCACAGTTTTATTTATTTTTATTATTGTTCGGAACTTTGAGTTGCAGTAGGGAACAGTGTGGAAGCCTTTGTTAATGTTTCTCTTGTTTGTTGTCGCCACTCACAAGCACTTTGTTTTGTTGTAAAAAATATGGTTTTCTTCAGGTTCTTGCAAGCCGTACTAAGATTTATATCATATTGGAGTTCATCACGGGTGGTGAATTGTTCGATAAAATTGTGAGTATCTCAAGATGGAACCTTGTATTTTAGGTTTATTAATCACCATTCAAGATATTGGGGATTTTCATGATGAATAATATTATTGTGCAGATACACCATGGCCGTCTTAGTGAAGCTGATTCTAGAAGATATTTCCAACAGCTTATTGATGGTGTAGATTATTGCCACAGTAAGGGTGTTTATCACAGAGATTTAAAGGTTTGCATTGAGTGGGATATGCAAATTTGTCTGTTATCCTTACCTTGATTTCTTCTAATTTTCTTCTTTGCCTTGTGCAGCCTGAAAATCTTTTACTTGATTCACTAGGAAATATAAAGATTTCCGATTTTGGTTTGAGTGCATTGCCTGAACAGGTGAGTTTGCTGCCAAAAAGCTTTTTATGTATGACTTTGATTCGTTAAAGATATAATGATACCAAAGGGCTTCAATCTTGTTGAACATTCTCATAGGGAGTGAGTATCCTACGAACAACCTGTGGGACTCCAAACTACGTAGCTCCTGAGGTAAATTCAAGTCTGGGTTGTAGTTTAGTTAAATTTCAGTGCTTCAGTTGATGTCAAATGTAAATACTGACTATTCTTATGCCGGCATCTGCATTTTGCTTTCTATTTTGTGGGCTTAGGTACTCAGTCATAAGGGTTACAACGGTGCTGTGGCAGATGTTTGGTCCTGTGGGGTTATTCTGTATGTCCTACTGGCTGGATATCTTCCCTTTGATGAGCTTGATCTAAACACCTTATATAGTAAGGCATGAATTTAGGCATGTCAAATAAATAGTTTACTGTAGAAATATGTTGTATTGCAAATAAAATATTTAACTTGCATATATTGAAATACATCAACTAATATTTATGAGCCATTTAACATGATAATAAGTAGTAAACAATTTGCTATTATGGGTTCAATTTATCTATTTTTTTATGAATGAGTATCCAAAATAGTAAATTGACCCTTAATGAGTGAAACTTGGAAATGGAAGTCTTGATAAGCAGTCTCTTGCATCTCTTAATTGGTGCTGGCTGTGGTTCTGACAAGTTATGACTTATTGTCTTCACACTCTTCTATTCCGTGTTGAAAGGCTCAAGAAATATTGCATTATCTAAGGGTTGCTTACTAGTCTAGATTGTTTTCATCACAATGGAATTTGGATTGTTCTTGATGAAGATAATTTTTCTTTGTTTTTTTTTTTTTTATTTCGTTTCTTTCTTTCAGATTGACAGAGCAGAATATACATGCCCTCCTTGGTTTCCCGTGGGAGCCAAATCATTGATAAATAGAATTTTGGACCCAAATCCTGAAACTGTAAGTATTTGCATTGCACAACAAAAGTTGAGGCACAATCTTTCTCGGCCAATTTAAAATTAATGTTCTATGGCCATAGAATCAGAAAATAATTTGGGTCTTTTGATGATATTTTGTGGTACAAAGGCATCTAAAAAGCCTAAGAGTGTGATGAATATAATTCTCATGCATGATTGTGAACTGTATGAACTTTTGTGCTTTAAAAGTGAATGGACTTGATTGAAAAAATTATATATGTATAAAAAGAACTTAATACTCAGTTGATGCATGTTATACTTTTATTATTTTTCTCCATTTCAATATCAAGATAAAATATTTTGAGTTTCTTTTGCAGTTTTGATTGCAGTTATTGATACACACTATATTTGTTATTTACACTAATTTTAATATGTAAAATGAATGACCTGCTGTAAAAGATTTTGTATTTCATGAAGAATTGGTTGGAGAATTTGGTCCCCATCATACCTGCCCTCAAAGAAGGAGCCCTTTAGGTTGAACAAGCACCAAAATTGCTTTATGCTGAAATTTAATTTAATTTGGAAGAATGGGAGTGCCAGATACCAACTTCCCAAAATGCTTAAATTTTTATACAGAGATCGTGGATTTTTTTATATCTTAATCAAGATTAATAGAATAAGATAATATAGCACATTTTTTTTATGTGGGATGACTAACCTCAATAAAGATCCTTAATACTTGAGTTATTATTTATAAAATGTTGATAGTTATAACTGCACCTATCTTTTAGGTGTGGAGCACATATTTTCTCTATTTCATCCTGCAAAACTTGAATTAAAGTTGTGTTTCATCCTGTAGTTCATGATCATTGTTTCTAAAACTGACACGATATTTATGGATTTGCATTTGAACATGCTCGATTCATATTGAAGCTCAGATATTTTTCCATTTTTTAATGTATTGAACCTTGTTTTGTTTATGCTTGATTCATTCTTTCTTACAAGTTTCCTTCCCTTGTTTGCATGTACATTTGTAGCGTATAACCATTGAACAGATAAGAAATGATGAATGGTTTCAGAGGAGCTATGTTCCTGTTAGTCTTCTTGAGTATGAAGATGTAAATCTTGATGATGTAAATGCTGCTTTTGATGAGGCTGAGGTATGTTATATTTCTGTGATATATGTGTGTGTGTGTATATACCTATTTTCTTTTCTTTTTTCTGGTATACAAGCTAATCTGCTTTCATTTTCCAGTCTACCTATTCAATTGTGTAGGATGAATCTGAGATAGATTGGACACACTGTTTTAGGATTTTAATTTTGGATTATTTGTTATCATAATAGGGAGGAGAGTTTATTCTTTTTTGGATTATTCATTCTATGAAATTAGGGTAATCTTATTGAAGTTTTTATTATACTGGGTATATGAATATATCCTGAGCTGAGAGATTTGAGATGCTTTTGATGATTTTAATGAACTTGATATTTCCTTTATGTGGAGAGTATTTGATACATGAGACTTTGGAGTACTCTAGGTTTGTTTATCAGGAGAATAACTCACCAAGAAAAGCACTCTTGGTTCCTGTTTCTTAATCATATATAATCAGTACTGCGGTGATCACTCTCCACAATTCTATTTAATGAGCAGGCATATCAAAGAACCGTAAAAAATAATATTTGTCAAAGATATTTTGAATTATCTTATTCCAGGAAAAACCATTTTATTACTGGCATAATCATTGAGCCTCTGGTGTACTGAAGGAAGTTGAACACAGTGCAAACTCAGTCGTCATTTTCTTACAATTGGTGACCCTTATCTTCTGTTAAGAAAGGCCAGCTTGTTTTCTAGTTGGATTCGTCTACTAATTATCTTCCGGTTTTTGCTTGCTTACTGATTATTTTGCTGCCGAAGGAACAGAGGGCTGATCAACACTGTGATAACGAGGACATGGCACCTCTAATGCTTAACGCATTTGACTTGATAATTCTGTCTCAAGGCTTAAATCTTGGAACAATCTTTGATCGTGGACAGGTATTTAGCTGTTACATTGTGTTTGCCATGTGGCTCAGTCAGTAATCATATCTAAATGGTCAAACAACAGCCATTTAATATCCTGAAGGAATCTATAGATGTAATATGTGACAAAAATATATGATTACACCTACAATATTCTCTCATTTTGAGGTCTAAAACTCTTAAATATTTTCCTTATTTAGAGTTAAGATGTCAGATGTGTCTCTCTAATACCCTTGCAGGACTCTGTGAAGTATCAAACCCGCTTTATCACTCAAAAGCCAGCAAAGGTGGTTTTATCAAGTATGGAAGTGGTGGCACAATCAATGGGATATAAGACACACATTCGCAACTACAAGGTTCATTTACTTGCTTCCACTGCTATTGTTACTCTGGTTTCTTCTGCATCATCTTGTCCATTTACATACAAATTGCAAATCTATGGCATCTGATGTCATTTTTACATGAGAGAAAACCTTCCTACCAAAGTTGGTCATCATCCGAAGTGATATTTGTATGAATTTTCAGATGAGGGTAGAGGGTGTTTCAGCAAATAAAGCATCCTATTTCTCGGTCATCCTGGAAGTAAGTTTCTGTACCTTTACCAGAATTTGAACTGGCCCTTCACATTATGGCTAAATGCATAATTCTTATTTATCTGCTCCAAGATTTTTGAAGTGGCTCCTACATTTTATATGGTGGACATTCAAAAAGCAGCTGGAGATACTGGTGAATACCTCAAGGTACGTTTTTGAAAACCTCAGTTTTACCCTATCCACTGCATACTTTCAATTTATGACCAAACATCACTCCATAATGTTGCAGTTTTACAAGAACTTTTGTAGCAATCTTGAGGATATAATCTGGAAACCACCTCATGAACCAAGCAAATCAAGGATCTCCAAGACCAATATCAAAAGACGATAACTCGTGATACCTGTTTATTTTTTATTTTTTCTTTATTCTACATATAGCACACTTTAAAGGTTTTTTCACAGAATGTACTAATTTGTATACAACAGGAAGTCGATTTCTCCCTCCTCGACTTTCCAATGAGATTAAGGGGATTGGTCACTCCAAAGTCCAAACCAACATCCCAACATTTCATTCTTTCTCTTATTTGTTATGTTGAAAAGTTGGTTCATGAGAGTTGAGGTCTACGTAACATTTTTATAGTTAGTTTTTTTCTTTTCTTAAATCTATGATATAATTTAAAATACAATCATTATATTTTTATAAATTAAAATATATAAACTAATTTATAATATTAATAATCAATAAATATGATAATGTAAATATAATACTAGACTTAGAAATGTATAAGAAACTATTTATCAACGATGGTGACTAGTCCAACAAGGAGGAGGTTGCTTATTACATATTGTGATGTCTCGTGTCTTGTCAATCAATATCTTAAAGGTCCATTAATATTGGTTGATCGTGATAATGATTTGTGTTAAATATATATTTAACATGTTCACGTAGATTTAAAAATCTTCTTAAATTAAACATGGTGGGTGTGTTGATGCGATTTAGCACTTATTTATTAAATTATTTTGGAATGAAATTTTTAAAATGTAAAAAATATATTTGAGAAAATAATGGATGACAGATGATTCAAGAAATATGTGGGGTGTAGAAATAAAATTCATATGTATATAGAATACCTATATGTTTAGGGTTTATAAAAAACTATATTTGAGTGTTACTTTTGAAATAGTTTATGAATTTTTATTTTCATTTTTTGAACTTTCTTATTTGTAAAATTGCTAAAACTAACCCACAGAAAAAAATTCTAATAAAAAGATTCTTCTGCCCTTATCTTATCATTCAATCATGACAAACTAAAGAATTAAAATAAGTTATTTGAATAACAGAATGCATGTATGAAATTGAAGAAAATTTCATTCATTTAGAACATGTTGTCACAAATAATGATGAAATCTGAGGTTGAAAATCTCATTATTTCAAACATTGTTCCAAAATATAGGTCACCACAAGGGATCAAAAGACCATAAGGAGGCTTTGAGGCTGTCCTTGTCCTTATCTAAATTGTAAAGGAACAAATCATGACTTACGACATGTTCAAACAAAAGAGAAAAAATAATATAAAATTTATGAGAAAAAAAAAAGAGAACACAAAAATGGTCTCCATTGGAACCTTTTTTTGTTTTTCTTTCATAAAAAAATATATTTTATTTTCTTGCATCCAAAACAACTATAAAGATTGTCATTTCGTTTGAAAGGATCATTCGACCCTTGCAACACACTAGTACGGGTGAAGTATTAGATGACACTGCACAAGGAAAGTACAGTCTAAGTACTATGACTGAGGTTGAGAATAGCTCAAGTTCTACTGTTCCAGAAGCTTCTGCTATTCGTTCTAGAAGGGTCATTCATCAACTAATATACCTCAAGGATTTTGTTATTAAATGATGTGTCCACTTTTGCCTAAAAGGGGAAAACCGTTATACCCCATGTGATGGAATATTAGCGGTAAAAGTACCTATATAGAGCACCCTAGGATGAATAGTGGAGGAATGAAAAAAAAGTTATTAAGTATTCTTTCCTGAATTCTCTCCTCTTTGTCCTGAATTTCTAGAATCTTTCTCTTCTCTTTGTATATTTTTTTGTTATTTGGTGCTTTCATTGCATCATACTCCACCCACTATGACCAACATACCTGACCCATTTGATTCCCTTCACCACAAATTAAAATAAATCTTACTTGCCCAAGCCAATTTTTCCAACACCCTCGTGGACATTGATAACCGCACCACCCACCTAGAAAACCAACTCTCCCTTTCCCCTCCGTCACTCAGCTCTCACAAATTGACGAAACTCGACCTCCCATCCTTTGATGGCACTTATCCTCTTGGCTGGATTTTTAAGGTGATCCAATTTTTTGCCTTCCACCAAACTCCCATGGACCAACGCATCCAACTTGCTTCCTTCTCTCTCGAAGGGAAAACCCTCGCCTGGTTCCAATGGATGCATAACAACGGCTTTCTCACTTCGTGGGATTCCTTCCTTCGAGCTTTAGAGCTCCGATTTGCTCCTTCAAAATTTGAGGATCCAATTACTGCCTTGTGTAAGTTGTCCCAAATTCACTCTCTACAAGACTATCTCTCTGAATTTGAGACCCTCTCCAATCGGATCTCTAGTTACCCCACCAATTTTTACCTGAGTTGTTTTCTTTCCGGTCTCAAACCTCATCTCCGACGGGAGGTCACAGTTCTGCAACCCACAAATCTGAACCAAACCATTTCATTAGCAAAATTACATGATGACAAACACTTTGCCACTCCCTCTTTTAACCGCCCCTTCCGCACATCACTATCGGCAAACACTACACCACCACCCCTTCCCAAACCATTACCACCCATTTTACCCACACCCACTACTAAAATACCCATCAAGAGACTCACCGAGGCGGAGATGCAAGCCAGGAGAGAGAGAAATTTGTGCTACAATTGCAATGAACGCTACACGCGTGGCCATTGCTGCAAGACTCAGTTCCTCTTGTTGATTTCCACCGAACCAGATGATGACCCATAAACTGTAGCTGAATCAGAACCTCTACTTTCTGACAACCCCTCTTCTGAGTCTGACCTCATCAGCTGGCATGCACTCTCAGGCCAATGGAACCCTGTTACCTTGCGATTAACTGGGTTCATCAACGGGTACAACTTTATTCAGAGTCGTGTGGCCCATTTCCTTCATCTTCAAACAGAGCTTACTTCCACCCTTTTGAAGGTAATGGTAGGTAACAATGATTTTCTACCTTGCTCTACATTTTGTCCCAAGGCCCCACTGCACTTAGCCTCTTTACAATTCTCTGTTGATTTGTATCCTCTAGAATTGTTTGGCACTGACATTGTCTTAGGAGTCCACTGGCTAACTCAAGTGATCCCATTCGTAATGGATTATAATGGGTCTTTCATGAGGTTTATGTGGGATGGCAAATTGGTGGAATTGAAGGAAGAACAAGGCCCTAACCCCAGCCCAATTTTAGTTCACCAATTGAGAAGACTACAACAAACTAATAGTGTAGAGACATTGTTTTAGCTCACTCTCGAACCCGACTACACTCACCCTAACCATTCTTACTCTTTAACCACAACTACAACTCCCCGAATCACTACACAAACCCCTACCTCTGAACACCCTCCCCTACAAGCCTTACTTCACAAATACTCCTTCCTTTTTCAGCCACCTACCACCCTACTACCATCATGACCCACCAACCACTATATCACCTTACACCCAAACACCCCACCAATCTCAGTAAGACCCTACAAATATATGCATTTCCAAAAGCATGAGATTGAGCAACAAGTGAAACACATGCTAGATTCCGAATTTATAAGCCAAGCAACAACCTGTTTTCCTCCTCGGTTCTTCTCGTTAAAAAAGAAAGATGGGACATGGCAGTTTTGCGTCGACTACCGGGCCTCAATGCAGCCACCGTGAAGGATAAATTCCCAATTCCAACGTCGATGAACTATTGGACGAGTTGGGTAATGCAACGTGGTTCTCTAAGTTGGACCTGTTCTCTAGATTCCACCGGATCTTAATGCTCCCTGATGATTGTGCTAAGACGGCTCTTTGGAACACCCTTTTCGAGATGACACGTGTAATTTTTTCTACAATTATTTTATCTAAAATGATACTTGATAAAATATTTATCCTAAACCTCTTTATTTGTCAAAATAAAATTTTGTTCATACAAACAACTAACTTAAACTATCAAAATGACAATTAATATTCAAAAGGACATTTTCAAATATCTTAAAAAAAACTCCCAAAAAGCTTCCCTTCGAGCTCTTTACCGCTAAGCTTCTCTAACAGTATTTGCATCAACATCTACTCCCGCATAACATAAGTCATACGATCATCGCAGGTGGAAACCCACACCACAAACATGCAAGGGTGAACAAAACATGTATTTCATCACATATCATGCATGTCATCATATAATTCACCTAACATTATCATAATGTAACAAAACTCATTCATAATATCCACAAATACATATTTTCAACACTACAACAATAACACTTTATCATATTACCACCAAGTAAAAATAGACGGTATAAAATTCTCTCATAGTCAGTGGCAGATCTTCTTGGGAGCTGAGAGAGACCGTGACCCCCCCAAAGTTTTGTAACTTCCATGTAATTTATGATTTTGGCCCCCAAAACTATGAATATTTAATATATTTATTTGTATATTTACAATTTTATCCTTTCAACCCCTCCTCAATTTTGTAACTCTCATGTAATTTTTTATTTTGTTGCCCTCAAACTTAATGATCATTTAATATATTTAAGTATATATCTACAATTTTATCTTTTCACCCTTTCATCTTCTTTCTTCCTTTTATATTTATTTATTATTTATTAATAATATATTATTTTGCCCTCCTTAGATCAATGGTCAAGATCCGCCACTCGCTTATAGCCAACCCCCATACTTTTCCCGCACACCAACGCCTCTTGGAAAAGTCCCTTTCATATTACCACCAACTAAAAACAGAAGCTATAAAATTCTCTCATAGTCAACCCATATATTTTTTCTGTGCACCAACACCTCTTGGAAAAGTCTCTTCCCCTACTTTACATAGACTTACAAGCAACAACTCTATCCGCTCGACAAAGTCTTGGATGGAGCACTCTTGCTAAGCTCATGCTAAAGACTTACGGAGGAACAAAACCCCTTTACCATGACTCGACAAAGTCCTCTAGGAAAAAAAATCATTCTGTCTTTACGGCTATCAAAGAACTCATATTGTTCCCTCACCTATATACACACATATGCATACAACATCTTATCGCAGATCAAACATACCTAAACTCATCATGTAATTACATCATATCATAATTTAAGTATTTTTTTCTTACATTTAAGGATTTTAACATATAACT